GTAAATTAAGTATACAACCTGAAGTTACTAAAATGTATAAGGATTTAAAAAAAATGATTTGGTGGCCTGGAATGAAGAAGGACGTAGCAAAATATGTTGTCCGTTGCTTAACATGTCAAAAAATTAAAATTGAACATCAAAAGCCCTTTGGCATGTTACAACCATTAGAGATTCCAGTGTATTTATGGATTTTGTAGTGGGTTTACCCAAAACTTCTAGAAATTACAATTCTATTTGGGTGATTGTGGATAGGTTAACAAAAACTACTCATTTCATTCCAATCAATATTAAGTACTCTTTAGATAAATTAACATTATTGTATATCAAAGAAATGGTTAGACTACATGGTGTACCAACTAGTATAGTATCAGATAGAGATCCCAGATTCGTATCTAGATTTTGGAAAGAATTTCAAAAAGCTTTAGGAAGTAAATTGCATCTTAGTTCATCCTATCGTCCTCAAACTGATGGGCAAACTAAAAGAACCATCCAGTCATTAGAAGATCTTTTAAGGGCTTGTGTATTAGAAGAAAAATATAGTTGGGATGAAATTTTACCCTTAGTAAAATTTACATATAATAATAGTTATCACTCTAGTATAGGTATGGATCCTTATGAAGCACTTTATGGGTGTAAGTGTAGGACACCTTAGTTTGGTACCAAGATGGTGAGAGTTTATTAATAGGACCCGATGTAATTCAACAAACTACTAATAAAGTGAGGACAATTCAAGAGAGAATGAGAACTGCTCAAAGTCGACAGAAAAGTTATGTTGATAAGAGAAGGAAACCTTTAGACTTTTAGGAAGGAGATCATGTATTTTTGAAAGTTACACCTATTACAAGAGTTGGCAGAGCTATTAAATCTAAGAAACATTCTCCTAAATATATTGGGCCTTATCAAATTACAAAACGAGTTGGAAATGTTACCTACCAGATAGCCTTACCAACTTTTCTCTCCAATATTCGTAATGTATTCCATGTGTCACAATTGAGAAAGTATATTTCAGATCCAACACATGTCATAGAACCTGATCAAGTACAGGTGAAGGAAAACCTCACCTTTAAACCAAGTCCTATTAAGATTGAAGAAACGAGAATTAAGCATCTAAGGGGAAAAACTATTTCATTAGTTAAGATTATCTGGGATGATATTAGAGGCGATGCTACGTTGGGGTTAGAAGAGAAAGTGAAAGCAGAGTATCCTCATCTGTTTGAATAAATGGTGACAGAAATTTTGAGGAGGAAATTTAGTGGGGGAGAATTGTAACATCCCAATTTCTGTAATTTATTATTTTCTTAAGTTCCTACAAATTATTATATATAAATATTATGTAAACTTTTATGAGAAGAAATGATATATTAAATAATAATAATAATAATAATAATAAAAACAAAAAGAGAAAAAGAGAAGGTCGGTGATGTATCGTGGCCTTAATACATTTGAATTAAGACGGTGAAGAATTTAATTGAGGCGAGTGAAGAATTGAATTGAAATTAAGGCGGTGAAGAAACTTGGAGAAGAAATTAAGTCGGTGGAGAGGTATATAAATAGAAGAAACCGTGTAGGAAAATCATGAAAAATAAAAAATCCCTCTAACACCAAAAGCCACGGCCAATTTGGAGAATAAGAGAGAGGCACCAAATTGAGAAGAAAAATAAGAGAAAAAGGAGGAGAGTCGGAAGATCTTGGAGAAGTAAGGTTTGGGTTAGATGTTTATTTTTTACGCTTAAGATTGAAATGTTTGATTTTGATTACTGTTCATTGTTTTGAAAGTTTGAAATGTTGATGAAATTCTTGAAATTAAGGATGAAATATATAGTAAAATTGTTGTTTTTGAATCAAATGTGATAGGTTTCATGTTTAATTTGAGTTTGAAATTAGTTTGATTGATTGATACGTGAGAATTTGAAATATGGAGAAATTGAATTTGGTTACTCGGACTGAAGATTGAAGAAGAGGTATATGGTGAGAATTTTTGAAAAAGATTATTTTTGAAATTAAGGATAAATTATATATTAATATTTTTGTTTTTAACTTAAATTGAATATGTTTAGGGTTGAATTTGGATTTGGAACTAGTTTGGTTGTCTGAAATTGGAAAATTTTGAATCTGGAATGTTGAAAATGACGTACTGGAAGTAAGGAAGAAGAAAGGGACAAGGTGAAAATTTTTCAAAAAGATCAAGGGCAAAATAGTTATTTTACATCTTAGGGACATACATGGAATTTTGAAAAAGATTAAGGGTATAATGGTAATTTAATAGTGATTTCAGGAAATGGATGGAATAGTAGAAAATGTTCAAGGGTAAAATAATCATTTTCAGGACGTGGATGGAATAATAGGAAATGTTCAAGGATAAAATAGTCATTTTTAGGACATGGATGGAATAATAGGAAATGTTCAAGGGTTAAAATAGTCATTTTCAGTACATGGATAGAATAATAAGAAATGTTCAAGGGTAAAATAGTTATTTTACAACCTAGGGACATAAATAGAATTTTGAATAAAGTTAAGGGTATAATCGAGATAAAGCCAAACAGTATAACCACCTCTTTGTTTACTAGGAAAAAGACTCAGTAAACGTTTGAATTTGAGGATAGTGCCCTTATCAAAGTTAAAGGTTATTGTTGTATCTTTCCAACACGATTGGAATCATCTTAAAAGGAGGTCTAGAACTCGAGATATGGACAAAACACTGAACCCTACGAAATAGATTATTAATAGAAATTGTCTTGTTTACAACAACTATGAATTGTAATTGAAATTTTGAATATATGAATGAGATGTTTCTAAGTACTTAATTGATGATAGGTTGTTTTGTTTCATACAAGACATAAACATAGTGCATGAAATGTTTTCTAGAAGTCATAGAAAAGTTTTTACAGAAAAGTATTTGAAAAATTCTATTAAGTTGCTACCAAGGACGGTTGGTAGTAATAATGATGTGCAAAACAAAATTTTGGAAATATTTCTGTGAGTCATTTTCTTGAAAATTTACTATCAAGAGCATCTGGTAGCAGAATATGACTACAAAAATGGTTGGCCAAATGAGATAGAGAATGTATGAGAATGAATGATTGATAATCGAGCTACCAGTATCTATGATAGTAAATTGGGGAGTAGAATAGGTAAGACAGGACCTTTGGTCTATGGGGTTGGACCTCTGGTCTAGGGAGTGTTTGGGCATGGGCAATCCCATAAGTGGTCAGTCTTTATTTGATTTTGTGTCGTAGTAGCCTGTTGGGTGCATTGACACTCTAACTACTGTCTACTTGTTCGCGTTTAGTGGGGCATTGCCGAATCACAGGACATGGTGATGTTAAGCTCTGATTCCACTAGACACTCATATGAGTCTCCATGGAGCACTCAGTCAAAAATGATTTTTTTTAGATTTTGAGTCAAAAGCATGATTTTTCAAGTTTCACGTTTTGCGTCACATGAACATATCATAAACATATTACATGATGAAATGGTAAATTATTCATGATTTGTATGATATTCTTTATTATGTTTGCATGATTGATTTATTTATTTCTCATAATTAATTGTCAAATTAAATTATATATGGTTGTATATTTATATGTAGTTATGAACTTATTATGAAGGAATGTTTCATTGTTTGATTTTATCGTATGAATATTTGCTTTGTTTGTTGTGGGTAAAATTAAATGTTTAACCTCATAAATATTTTCAATCCTAGATGTTGGTGACATGTAAAAAACGACGTTCAAAGTTGAACACATTCTACGTCGATTTTTAGTCAACCGGCATAGAAAATACTTTCCACATCGGTTCCAGATGAACCGACGTGGAAAGTCTTTTTATTGACACATTCAACGTCGATTCCCAGATTAATCGACATGGAAAGTGTTTTTTTTTTCACCCAAAAATTCATTTAAGTTAGAAAATTGTCACTAACAGGATTCAAACCCAGTATTTTAGAGTTGAAAGTTAATACTCCAACCACTAAACTACTATAATTTTCTAATAATAACTTACAAATAATTTATTTGTATATATTTTCTCGGAAAGTGTTTTTATTTTTTTTTCAACCAAAAATTTACTTAAGTTAGAGAATTGTTACTAACAAGATTTGAACCCGAGTATTTTATAGTTGAAAGCTGATACTTCAACCACTAAACTACTATAATTATCTAATAATAATTTACAAATAAATTATATTTTTATACAAATAAATATATATCCGTGTAAATATATAAATATAAAAAATATAAATACAAATATATTTATATATTTTGATATATTTTGATATATTTATATAGTTATATATTTATATGTTGGATTTGAGGGAGCACTTGAGGGTGAAAGTGGGATTGACTCTCGGTTGAGTGAAAATACGTTAAAGCTCACAGAAATTCACTTGCTCAAGTCTCGCTTGAGCGAAAATTGGTATTTTTTGCTTGAGCGAATGTGTCGCTTGAACGAATGATGCGTTTCCCAAATTTATTTTATATCATTATATAAATAAATTATAAAGATTATATTTTGTCATTAAACTACAAACTCATATAAAGATATCTCGCTCACAAATTTGACATCAAATTTTGAAAACTCACTCGACATATACTTTTACCTTCGAGCGTGCTCTTACATCCAACATATAAATATATAACTATATAAATATATCAAAATATATAAATATATTTGTATTTATATATTTACACGTATATATATATATATATATTTGTATATAAATATAATTTATTTGTAAATTATTATAAAAAAATTCTAGTAGTTTAGTAGATAAAGTATCATATCCAATCCTAAGGTGCAGTATCTCACAGTGAGAATTTTCTTACAAAATTACCTTCAAAATATAAAAGAAATAAATTGAAGGCGGGCTAGTATTAGTGAGAGGACTTTTAGATAAATAGAGTGACTTCAAATAAATAAAAATATCCAGAGCATAAATTGGCCAAATACGAACCAACTCCCTTGTCTACCCTCCCATTTTGGTGAATCTTCAATACCCCTTAATGAATTCAGCCCCTCCGAGACACATTTGCGAGAACCATTTTCCCCATAGCAGTTCATGTTGTTCGGATCAAAGCAGCAGCAATAGCATATCATATACAACATTAAAATCCAAACCTCAAAATCCTCAAAACATGGCAACTTCTGGGGACACCAGCAAAACCATAAAGCTCGTACGTTACAACAGCTACCTCCGCAGAGTGAACAGCAACAAGCTCCTAAACACACCCTCCATCATCCTCTTCTTCCTCCTAACAACCCTCATCCTCATCATCCTCTACACCTTCTTCGCCACCACCCTCCTCTCCTCCACCTTCCACGGTGCCGCCTGGGAGAATCACCTTCGCCACTCCGCCGTTCCGCGCCGCCCCAACGGCATGTCGGTCCTCGTCACCGGCGCCGCCGGCTTCATAGGCTCCCACTGCTCGCTCGCCCTCAAGAATCGCGGCGACGGCGTCATCGGCCTCGATAACTTCAACTCCTACTACGACCCTTCCTTGAAGCGCGCACGCCAACACCTCCTCGCCAAGCACGGAATCCTAATTGTCGAAGGCGACCTAAACGACGCGTCGCTGCTCGCGAAACTCTTCGACATCGTTTCGTTCTCCCACGTCCTCCATCTGGCAGCCCAGGCGGGCGTGCGCTACGCCATGCAGAACCCCCAGTCTTACGTGGCTTCCAACATTGCCGGATTCGTGAACCTTCTAGAAGCTTCCAAAAACGCCAGCCCCCAGCCCGCTATCGTCTGGGCATCCTCCAGCTCCGTCTATGGGCTCAACACCCAAAACCCATTCTCCGAACTCCACCGCACCGACCAGCCCGCGAGCCTCTACGCCGCCACCAAAAAAGCCGGCGAGGAAATTGCTCACTCTTACAACCACATCTATGGACTCTCCCTCACTGGATTACGCTTCTTCACGGTCTACGGGCCCTGGGGGAGGCCCGACATGGCGTATTTCTTCTTCACCAAGGCCATCCTCCAAGGGAAGCCCATTGACGTTTACCAGACGCAGGACGAGAGAGAGGTTGCGCGCGATTTCACTTACGTAGACGACGTCGTCAAGGGCTGCCTAGGTGCGCTCGACACGGCGGAGAATAGCACCGGGAGCGGTGGGAAAAAGCGCGGCCCTGCTCAGCTGAGAATTTACAATATCGGCAACACGTCGCCAGTGCCGGTGGGGAAACTCGTGGCCGTGTTGGAAGCATTGCTAAAGGAGAAGGCGAAGAAGCACGTGATCAAAATGCCGCGAAACGGCGACGTTCCGTTCACGCATGCCAATGTGAGCTTAGCGTGTAGAGACTTCGGGTACAAGCCCGCCACAGATCTCTTGACTGGTCTGAGAAAGTTCGTGCAGTGGTACGTTCGGTATTACGGGGTTCGCTTAGGGGCAGAAAAGGAAAAACACGGAGACTTCGCTTGATTGTTAATCTTACCCGTGCCAGTCCCTTCATTTCACGTGCCTTTTCTTTGTGAATTATAATAATAATAATTATTTTTATTACTACCATCTATTTTTTGTGCTGTGAGTAATGTTGGTAGTTATTGTTGAAGAGGTGGTCCATGTGGGAATGCATCAATCATGACATGACACGACACGGTGGATGGAGGGATATGAATATGAACATGAACCTAGGAGGAGCATAAACTTGGTATAGAAGGAAGAGACGACATGTTCAAGAAATTGAAAGTAAAAGCAAGGACAAAACATGAGCAAGTGTATATATCTAATCTATGTGAGGTGGAGGTGGAGGTGGAGGTGGAGGTGGAGGGAAGCTGAGATGATATTATGAAGGGTGGCTCTTCTTTAAGGTCGTGGAACTTATCCATTTTATTCTTCTTTTTCTCAAAATTAAGTTAAATTGTGTGTATAAACAATAATTAATTATTATGATATCCAATTAGTTTTATATGTTTTAACTTGATAGCAGTTTTTATATTTTTGTGTGGAAAATATTGGTTATTTTAAACTATGATGTTATCTGTTTGGAATTTCATATTTATCACACTGTTTTAGTAAAATTGAGTGAGATGGATTCCTTAATCTTCTCGCTGATCTAGTAAAAAAGTAGGTTATATCTTTCCATCTCACTTCTAGTTTATTTATCTTCGATTACTTTTCCTAACTTCTAGGTTAATAATGAATATTATCTTAATTTTAGTAATAAAGAATATTATCTTAATGTTACGGGATTGAGTGGACCAATTTGAAAGAAATTAAGGATATAATTTTCTATTTTATGTTTTCTTAGCATCCAATCTTAAATAATTTAATTCAAGGTGTAATTATAAGTCATTTCATACTTGATCTTAGTAGTGATTACTTTAGTAAAGATCAACATAAAATTATAACTTGATACATAATGGTACACAATCCTAATTTTTGGTCTCCTAAATCTTAAACTCTAAACTGTATGAGAAATGTGAGGGGATATATAAGTGGAGTTCGTAGTAGTCAAAGAGTTGTCTTTTGACACATGTTCATTAAATAGTGATAAGGTTGCCATGACAAGATGATGACGCCGACACTGTCCCTCAAACGTGATAAGGAGGCAAGCATCAAACCTGTTGTTGCCCAAACCTCACCTCGACAATACCTTTTATATTGTTCTTCTCCTTTGTTATTTGTTGTAGTCTCCTCATAGTATTTATCCTTGATATTGGGCCAGAGCCCTCTCTTATTCTCCTCTTTTGTAATCAAAAGGCAAAATATTTAAGCTTTATTCTAGGAACTTATAACTAAATAGTTTGTCACATGATCAATTGAATGGATCAGTCACATGATGAGTCGAATTATTTGGACAATACACAGTCCCAACCTCAAGTATAAAACATCAAGATTTCATATGTCTGCGTTTTCCTGATACCCATTATTACAAGCATCGACCACCAACATGTGACCCCAATCGTCACCTCGTTGTGGCGGGAATTCTCTCACCACTCTTCGAGTCGTTCTGGTATTGATAAGGATGTAGTGTTACAAGTGTGTGATCCCTCTAAGCCCATTTGTCGGGATCAAGAGGATGACCAAGAGCCCTTTTTCTTTATATGATACTTTGTTTATCAAGTTAAGGTTACGTTTACCTCTGATTAATTTTGAAAAAGAAATTTTAATTGTGTTGAATGTTGCTTCGGGCTAGTTGCATCCCAACAGTTGAGCCTTTGTCCAAGCTTTCCATATACTTTCCACCCATTTTGGTGTTGTCCCGACTTCTAGCATGTTCTTTTACTTTTTTGAGTGTCAATCTTTAAAAAGGATGTCTTTGATTTCGGTAAGTGGAGTGCATGGTTGACCTATACTTAACCTGTTTTGGTCGTCTTATAAGAAATTTAAGGGCTAATTTCTTAAATTCTGAGCCCCTAAATCTGACTCATCTTTAGTCGAAGGATTCCCCCTCTACTGAATTGACAATCCCCACTTCTAAACTACCAAACAATTATCAGAACTGGAGAATAATGAAGTCGATAATTATAGTATGCTCGAGTGGTTGAATATTGTTTTTGATACATCCACGCTTCTTAAATTAGAATTATGAGTTATTGATCTTAAAGTTTATATAGGTATTCCCAACCTCCATCTTGTCCTTAGTATTTTCATTATCGATTGGTTAACGTTCCTTCATTTTTTTTTTTGCAAAGAAACAAATGATTTTATCCAAGAAAGAAATGAGTCGATGTCTTCGTGAAGCTATGGCTGCTAAGTAACAACCAGCCAAAGTGATAACCATCGGGTAAGCTTCCTCTCTAGTTCAGGCAGAGGATATCGACTCAGTGAGAGGATCGAGAGCGATGTTCGTCTTAAGCGTAAATGGAAATCTACCACCGAGCCTGAATCGGGAGCCATTACCTCACCTCTTGTCTTAGCATAAGGGTTGCCATCCAGGGAAAGCCTCCTCGAAATATTTCCAAAGCTATCGTATATGGACTTGCAGATACAGTTTGGGCTCTACATAACTTGCTCACGATAGCTAATTCATTCGCCTCACATGTTGAAAAGAAGGCCTTTGGATTCTGAGGCTTGAGCGGAAGAAAAAAGACAAGCGGCAGAGTCCAAGAAAGTTCGAGCAATAGAAAAATTATATGATTGCTTAAAAGCTTAAGCATTCATGACCAAAGTGTTGTGCAAAGTAGAAGAGGATTTGAGGGTCGAGAAAGAGGCACATGAGTTACTTCGCCAAAGCCACCGAGCCGAAATAGCCTTTATGGAGGATAAAATTAATACCCTAACAAGGGAAAATAGTGGGTTTCAATGCTTAGAAGATGCTTTCAAAATCGAAATTGCCAAAATGTACGCAGTTGGATTTGTTAGAGCTTTGGAGCAAGTTATCGTTCTTTTCCCTGTCACTGACCTATTTGTCATGGGCCCTTTTAAAAGTGTTGTCGATAGACAAATAGTGGATGAGGAAGAATAGTGGTGTATTGAACATTTTTATTGTAATTTTAATTTTGAAGTTTGTGAGGCCATTGCATCGAGTGGTTTTGATGGAATTTAGTTAAGCTATTTTAGTCAACTTCATCGTTTTGAGGTAATTTTTAGTTGGTTGTTGTTGCCTTTATTTTGATTTTCAGTTGTCATATTTTCATTGTAAAATTATCCGACCTTTATGCGATCATGTTTGTCATTGTAGAAGTATTCGACCTTTACAGGGTCATTGTTGTTGCTATGGAGTTTTTTACCTTTTTATGTAGTCGTTGGTGTCGTTGTAGAAACTTTTCGACCTTTATGTGGTCTTGTTTGTTGTTGTAGAGTTTTCTGACCTTTATGTGGTCGTTGTTGTCATTGTAGAATTTTTTACCTTTATGTGGTTGTTATTGTCACTGTAGAATTTTTTGACCTTTATGTGGTCATTGTTGTTGCTAAAGAAATTTTCAACCTTTATGTGGTCGTATTTAAGGAAAGAATTGTCAAATTGTTGTTTTATTCACCTTCCTTGGAGGAAAAACCTTAAGGGGGGAAGAAAAAACCTCCAAGTAAAAATCAATATGAAGTTTGTTTGGAAAATAAATGAAATAATGAGAAATTTAACTGTAATAAAATTGTATGCTTGTTGCATTCCAAGTTCAAGGAATTTGTCCCCAATCTAGTGTCTCGAGCTTGTAGGCTCCTTTCCTAATGACTTCGGTGACATGGTATGGTCTAACCCATTGAGTGGAAAGCTTATTGTTGATTTGGCCTAGTTGGGCGCGCCACAAAACTAGATCTGACACTTTGAATGCTATTGGGAGGACTTTCATGGAGTATGCCTGTACGATGCAACGCTTTATGACTTCAACTTTGATATGAGCTTGCTCCTGTACCTCTTCGATGCAAGTCAGATCTGCCCTAGCGGCATGGGTTACGCCTTTGTCCGAAAAACCGACTACATGTTCTATGGGCTCTGTCACTTTAATGGGAAGCACAACATCCACGCCATACTGTTAGTATTTTAAGAAGGATAGGAAAGATAGTTTGATGTTTAGTAGTGAGATTTGTGTAGAAAATAGTTTTTAGAAAGATGTGGACAAATAGGAGAAGGTTTGTATGAGGGAAGATAGTAATTGATGTTAGAAGTGTTACAAGATATGTAGGAGCTTGTATTAGATTTTCCACACATACAAAGACTCCCTTCATGCCTATTTATAGGCTTTACTTACAAGATTCTAGAATTTTCTACTATTTTCATTGTTTCTACACATTTCTTCTTCTTTTTCTTTTTCTAGAATCATGTTGTAGTTTCTACTAGTACACATATGTTTTCTACATAATTCTAGAAGTTTTACATAATTCTATCTTTTCTTAATTCTAGAATTATCTATCTTCTACTTTCAAACATTTCTAGAATCTTCTAAGGATTCTAGATATTACTCATATATAATTCCTAATTCTAGTAACATCTAAGATTTTATATTCTAGATCTTTCTAGAATTTGTATCATCTTTCAACACTCCTCCTTGATGCAAATTCTTGTAACTCCAAGCATGAAACGTAATTGTTCAAACTTGGCTCTTGGTAGTGCCTTGGTAAATATGTCCGCAATTTGATCTTCCGTAGTGCAGTACTCAAGTTGAATTTGTTTAGTCGCTTGACCTCTCTCGATGAAGTGATATTTAATAGCTATATGTTTTGTTCTTTGATGATGAACAAGATTTTTCGTCATTGCTATTGCTGATTTGTTGTCGCAATAAATAGTAGTTGGTCCATCTTGTGGTTCGCCCATTTCTTCAAGTATTCTTCGTAGCCATATTGCTTGACTTGTAGTTTCAGCAGCAGCTATGTATTCTGCTTCAGCTGTTGATTGTGCCACGGTTGCTTGCTTCTTTGATGCCCATGAGAAAAAACCCGATCCAAGTGAGAAGGCGTATCTCGACGTACTCTTCATGTCGTCTATTGATCCTGCCCAATCACCGTCGGTGTAGCAAATCATCCTTGAGTTGGTCATGGTC